TTACCCCCTCTATTAATACTTTAATTTCGTCCTATAATAATAATAATAATAATAATAATAATAATAATAATAATAATAATAATTATAATAATGGATATATTTATTTGATGTGGGGTGCACCATGTGCGGGGTATGGCATAGATTACAGTAATCACGGGTAGTTACACAGATCTACAAGATAAGTATAGATTTTTTATTTATACTATTTTGTCTGTTTTCTTATCAGTTTACTTTTTTTTTAGATAATATTGATCGTTGTTTTTTGGGGCCGCCGTTTCTCTGTGTGTGTCTCTTTGGAGTCATCGTTTCATTAGTGGCATTGCATTTTGGTTCTGTTGTTTTGCTGGTGTCATCATCATGCCTTTCTCTGGTCTATTGTTTTTTGGAGCCGTCATTTCTCTGGTGTCATGTCTCTTTGGAGTCGTCGTTTCGTTATGTGTTGTCGCATTGTTTCGCTGGTGTCATCGTCACGCGCTTTCTCTGATTTATTGTTTTTTGGAGCTGCTGTTTCTCTGATGTCATGTCTCTTTGGAGTCAAGTTTCGTTGGTGACGTCGCATTTTGAAGCTGTCATTTCGCTAGTGTTGTTGTATTTTGGGCTTCTGGTTTAGGTGAGTGTTTGTTACTAGGCTTTTTATTTTCTTGCTTGAATTAATGTTCTTCTTTCTTTTTTAGTGAATTTCGCTTGTCTTCGTCTGGAATTGGGCTTCCAGTTTGGGTGGATAAATTTCTTGTTTTGTTATTGGCGTTTTGTTTTCTTGCTTATACTAACGTTCTTATTTTTTAGTGAATTTTTGCTTGTCTTCATCGAGAATTGGGTTCTGATTTGAGTGGGTATATTTCTTTGTTTATTGTAAGACAATATCTTTTAATTCTTTACTTTTTGAACCAACGTTCAGCTTAATCGAAAGAGGTGGTTAGATTTGGCGAGTCGGGTTGGTTTCTTCTGGTAAATATATTTTTGTTGTGCTATATTTCTTCACTAATACTTTACTAACTTAAACTTTCTATTCTATTAAAATCACAACCAATTCGGTACGTTGAATGGCCAGTATGAGGTATATACTGCTTACAGCTGTTTTCATAATTTCTGGGACACCTGTAAAAAATTAGCTGAATAATTTTTAGCCAATATAATAGATTAAATAAAAATTGGTATGTATGTATGTACGCACATTGTGACGGTGAAATGTGACCTAGCCGAAGTTAAGAAAACGTGATTTTCAAGCCATATGATTTGGAACCCGAATGCGGATTGATCACAAAGCGAAGGCATTTAATAATACTAATTCGGATTTGGCTTGAGACGATGCTCCATTGAGAACAATAAATAGTAAGGTGTCGCTGGTATTTACATAGTGGGAACTAAAGTCATTATCATGTAAATGAGTATAAATTGCTTATCATTAGCCATAGATCCCCCGATACTCTAAATAGCTTATAATGATCTTAAACGTAGTAGCAAAGCCCCAATGTTGTTTATAATGTATAAAAGCTCCTTGATTTCATGTAACTAAAGGAAGCAGATAGATAATAGGTAAATAAGAATCATAATTAAATAAAGACCATCTTAATCTAAACCGGAAGACAATTTTAAAGTCACATGTATATGACAAGATTAAACGATAGTCTACTACCATACTATCATTAGGAACATTTGAATAAAATCGTCGTACCAGTGATCATGTGATCGTATGCCATTGTTTGCATTTTGTGTAACTATATGTATATACACGTGACCCCGCACATAGTGCGGGGTGCACCAAAGAAAATGCCCTATAATAATAATCTATTAAAACATGACAGAGTTAGATAATAAATATATTTACACAAAGATAGGTTGTTTGCTCCTGAGTTAGTTGTCTTGGTGGTTTATGATTATTGCTGCTGCTACTATGACTGCTGCTGCTGCTGCTAGTAGAGTGAACACTGCTGCCAGAATGACTTCTACTGCTTTCACTATCTGATCACCCTCTATCATCTTCGCTACTAGTAGTGCTAGCACTACTAGAGCTAGAGCTTGATAGTTC